GTCAATTGCCATACGCCCAAGTCGTACCCCAGCAATATGTCCTTGATGCAGGGGTGAAGGGGGAACCGGAGGCCTGCTTTGAATGCCGCCTCATAACAGCCGAAAAAATCATCGGCATGGTCCAAGTCATCCTCCCATACGACGGTTGCATTAACAGGCGGGACTCTTATTTCCCAGTCCTTCCCAACTGGTTTCCTTTTAAAAAGAAAGGCAGGAAGGGTTGCAGTAAGGGTGACCACGTCTCTTGCTGACATGGTCATGTCAGTCGGATCCCCCTTAGCCGGCCATTTGTAGGCCTCCTCAACAATAGGCTCAGCCTCCTGTGCTGGGGCTTCAGATTCGGACCCAGACCCTTCTCCAGCAGATTCATCGCCGGATCCTTCGGCATTAGAATCAGAGTCTTCTAATATGCTATCACCCGGTGTGCTCGGACCACTCGGGGAATCTTGACGAGTCCCCAAGGTTTCTTCCAAAGGAATTTCACCAGACGGTCCTGCCGTCTGGTCCTCGTTTCTGGGATCAGCCGGATCTTCGGCTGCGTCGTCGGATTTGTAATCCGGGTCAACTGCCGTCCATCTTATCCGAGCCATTCTGTCCTGCACATGAACAGAGACGGTCGGATTCGAGGTAGGTGAAGGTTCGCCCAAATACCCCCAGACGGCAGTCCCAGTCCTAGACTCAGCCGTGCCTGGTGACCGCCTGACAGCAGTCGTAAACTGTGCCGAGTGTATAATTGAAGGGTCCATATCCTATCTATGCAACCGGAAAATTAACAAAAAGAATTGAAAAAGGGTGCAGACGGTACCTTTGGAGGTTGGAATTTGCTGAGATGGTGGCTTGAAACCTACACAGGCGGAAATCTCCGAATGTGTTTGAAGCTGAAATAAAGAAATAGATCAGACATGTTTAATTGGAAGCTCATTTAAAAGCCCCCCAAGCGGCGGAGACCCGGATGAGGGATAGCAGAGATGGGCTGGAAGTTGCTCAAACAACCCCCATACGGTTAAAAGCCGGATGGGGGCAATTTAAACAACGTTTGAGAAAAAGCCAAGGCTGCTCAAACGACCCCCATACGGTTAAAAGCCGGATGGGGGCAATTTGAAACAGTTTGAGCCAAGGTTGCTCAAACGACCCCCATACGGTTAAAAGCCGGATGGGGGCTATTTGTATGTTTGAGAAAAAGCTTAAGGCTGCTCAAACAACCCCCATACGGTTAAAAGCCGGATGGGGGCAATTTAAACAACGTTTGAGAAAAAGCCAAGGCTGCTCAAACGACCCCCATACGGTTAAAAGCCGGATGGGGGCAATTTGAAAACAGTTTGAGCCAAGGTTGCTCAAACGACCCCCATACGGTTAAAAGCCGGATGGGGGCTATTTGTATGTTTGAGAAAAAGCTTAAGGCTGCTCAAACAACCCCCATACGGTTAAAAGCCGGATGGGGGCAATTTAAACAACGTTTGAGAAAAAGCCAAGGCTGCTCAAACGACCCCCATACGGTTAAAAGCCGGATGGGGGCAATTTGAAACAGTTTGAGCCAAGGTTGCTCAAACGACCCCCATACGGTTAAAAGCCGGATGGGGGCTATTTGTATGCTTGAGAAAAAGCTCAAGGCTGCTCAAACAACCCCCATACGGTTAGACGCCGGATGGGGGCAATTAAAACAACGTTTGGGGAAAAGTCGAGGCTGCTCAAACTACCCCCATACGGTTAAATGCCGGATGGGGGCAATTTGAATGATGTTTGAGAAAAAGCCAAGGCTACTCAAACTACCCCCATACGGTTAAATGCCGGATGGGGGCAATTTGAAAGATGTTTGAAAGCAAAGGTTGATCAAACCACCCCCATACGGCTAAAGGCCGGATGAGGTTACTTATGACTAGTCTGCATTAAAACAAAGTTGGCTTAAAGGGGTCCCATGCGGCACAATGCCGGATGGTAGTGTATTAAACATTCCAGACGGCAAAAACGCCGGATGAGGGAGATTTTTTGGACTTGTCCCAAGCCAGCCCCATGCGGCAAAATGACGGATGAGGGCATTTTACATAATATACCCAGGCGGCAAAATGCCGAGTGAGGTCCTTAATCTAGGGGTAGAGGGAGAAAGCAGACGGTACCTTACTAAATCCGCACTCAGCCGGAAGGCAGACGTCAAGTTCTTGCGAAAACCGGATGCTCGAAAGTCTTGAAAGAAGCAGCCGGTATCAGAGCTTCTCAGGAAATTTTTGAAAATAAAAAGTGCGGAGGAAAGAGGTAGCCACCCTACTTATAGAAAGAGGCAGAAGGCGAACAGTCACTTGCACGAAAATTTGAAATTCAAGAGGGGGAAGGCAGACGAACCGTCACTTACCCCGTGCACCCTACGTCTGTCACAGATGACACGTGAGATTGCCACATCTCATCTGTGAGGGGCAGATGTTTAGGGTGAAAATACCTAAGACACGTGGCCCAATAAATGCTTGACACGTGTCAATCTTTCAGCAGTCTGCAAAGGCCCATTTCCTTTGCAGACACGTGTCCCTTATACCCTTATTGAGGTACAGTTCTCCCTTACTATAAATAGTAAGGGTAGACCTCATTTATGAGGGACAGACATTAATTGCAACCACAAAAAACCAAACAAAGCCTAAACCTACTGAAACGCTCTCGAACCGAGAAGCTTTTACAGTTCTTATTCCACTTCGAAAAGATACTAACTTAATCTTCGGAGGCGGAACTCCCACCCCCCATCCGGAGTCTCCGTTACTTGTGCAGGTACAGGTGCAAGAAGGAAGTCGGCTAGCTGCAGGTACAGGCGTAAGAAGGAAGTCTGCTAGGAAATTGTAACTCTCCCGAAGGACACAGAAAACCCCCAAACACCTTCTTACCACAATCCTAGACTTTAGGTCTCGTACATTCGGTAAGGTTATTCTCACACTAGCCTAAACTAGCCAATTCTATGTTCAACCAAGGACATCTAAACCACGCTCGAAATTTTATTACCAAAAAAAAGCAAATATCCATCACATGCAATCCAATATCATCATTGAGGACTAATCTAAAGCAAAAAAAAGTTTTCATTTTTAATTTTTTTTTTTCAAACATTATATACAAGGATAAAAGGGAGAGAAGAGAGTTACCATTGATCTAGGTGTGTTAGTGTCTTTCATACATACAAGATGATAAAAGTATGGTGATTAGTAGCAAACCAAATAAAGAATATCATGAGTGGATCATATGGATAAGAATCAAACAATCATTCCACAATTAATTGATAAACTATTACTTGCAAAACTAAGGCAATCATATCACATGCTCACTTGAATTCATTTCACTATCAAAGACACTAATCAAATCTAAATTAATTAACTAAAAGTGAAAACAATATATACAAAATCTATACTAAAAAGAAACACAAATCTTTTTTTTTTTTTTCGGTTAGGAGAGGAGAAAAGGGGCTAATCTAAAGAATTTGGATTAAGGGTACAATTTTGGATTTTTGGGTTTTGGATTAAAAAGGGAGAGGAGACTCATCAACAAACATCATCATCAATGGGAAGCACATAAGGTCAAGCCATTTTCATTAAAATGCAAACATTCAACCATTAATTAACCAACCAAGCTAAACAAAGCATAATCAAATTAAGCACAAAACTAGCAAACACCTAATCCCAACTCTATACAAGGCCTAAATATTTCCCCAAGCTAGACATTCAATTACCGTTTCAATGTAAGAGAATAGGCAATGAAATAACCTCCCCCAAGCTTGGGATTGGCACCATCCTTGGTGTCCCAAGGATTAAGAGGGCAATGAAACGGTGAATGAAATGCCTAATCCATCTAGTAATGCCGACGCCCCGGCGAATAATGAAAGTTGTAGTTAATATCTACACCGCTAGGAGCTGCTGGGGCGTCTACATAGGGAGGTAGATCGTAGTTGGGACAAGTACGGTAGTGGCCAAAATCCGGCACACCTTGCTCACCCCAACCACCATCATATTCGGGTGGGAACTTGTAATGCCCCCTTAAGGGGTAATCAAGTACCTCCGTAAATGAACTATCATCGCTAACCTCGGGGACGTAGTAATAGCTAGGGTCACCCCTATAATCACTGCCCCCGAGTTGTGTGTAGTCATAAGGGGGATAATGGCATGGCTCGTCAATAGAGCAACGCGGCCCTTGCCAATAAGGGGAGGTGGGTCGGTTGTTAGACCAACCCAGAACCGCCCTTGTTGAACGGGACGGTTGGGATAGTTAAGGTAAGGGAGAAAGTCTCCCCTCTCAACTTGGTGTTAATAGCTTCTCTCCGCTACAAAGCTTTGATATTCATTTTCTTCTAACATTATTTGGTTGGTTAAGTTTAAATAATTAAAAGCCTTTTCGACATCAAAAAGGGTGGAATAGGAGGATGAACCATCTCCCTTAGATCGGGGAATGGAGGATGTACTCATACGACGAGGTATAGGTGCATCCTTGTCATCGTCGGCCATCCTTCGTGGGAGTTGATCAGGTGGCACGTGCCACGACGTGTCTCCCACGGAGTTAATGACCGCAACATTTGAGAGTGTGCAAAAATGCTTCCCATTGACCTTCGAACTAAAGCGCAACTGTTAGAAAAGGGGTTTTTAACGACAAATTATTTTGTCGTTGAAGCTTTTTACGACGAATAAATTTTTGTCGTTTGTTCAATGTAATAGGCTCCCACGTTATTGGTTTTAACGACGATGTTCATCGTTAGATAATGACAACATATTTTCTGTTGTTAACTATTAATAATGACTAAAAGACTCACCGTGAATAGATTTTCTATTCACGATAAACAACTAGGCAATGACGACCAAATATTCCCTCGTGAAATACATATCCAACAGTAAAAAAAAATTTAATTAGGATATTCACGACCATATTCTTTGTCGTTAATGATAAATGCTTTTAATAAGAGCCTTTTTACCAACAGTTTTTAATACAATTAATGTTAATTAAATTACAAAACTCAAGATAAATAAAAAATAAGACAAAAATCATTATAATAAATTTTGAATGAATTATTAAATTTCAAGTCTGCTAAAACCCAGCAACAACGTTACAATATTACATCCTTTCTAAATTCCACACTATCTATAGGACAGTAAGACTAATCAATAAAAGAAAAACCAAAAAAAGTTTGAGCCAAATTTAAAGACCGAGAGTAAACCAAATTAGATTTATCTTCCAATCACATCAAAGCCTTGATACTCCGTATCATCTACGACCTCTCTTTTTAACTGAAAATTTCAAAAAATAAGTAATACTACATTCATCATGTACCAATTTAGCTTCCATTATATAAAAATAAAAAAACTTCATAAAAATAGAAATTAAGGTTAGTAGTTATAATTGTTATTACTACCTGATTTGAGCTCTTTGTCAGTGCTACTCTGCAAAATTTTGTCAGAATAATAAAAAAAAATTGATTTAATGTAAAACATTGAATTTGTAAACTGCACATCCAACAATAATAATACTACCTCCGTTTTTTTTTATGTGCAACTTTTGCCATTTTAGTCCGTTCACTATTATGTGCAACTTTCCTTTTTCATTCTATTTTTGGTAAATAAAAACCCTGAAAATTACAAACTTACCCTTACTTAAAAATTCAGATTTTCTTAATGCTATCCTTATCTTATTTTAATCACAATAACTTTTTTATCTAATCTAAAATCATTAACCTAATTGTACCTTCTCCAAGACTACCTCCCCTCAGAAATTCATTCCCAATTTCTTCATCACCTCAGAAATCCCAAATTCCCCCAAATCTGCCATTTTCTCTCTCCTCTCTTCACTTCTCCTTCAATGGCGTCATCGTCGGTGACCTCCATTTTCTCTCTCCTCCTGATCTCCACCATCCTCTCGGTCGTCTCAACCCGCCCCGGCCTCCTTTTCCACCCCTGCAACACCCTCATCGTTTCCACCTACTCCTCTTTCCTCCCTCAAAACCCTAACTCCGACCTCCCCAACAACCCCCATTTCATCGTCGTCTCCGCCGATCTCCGCCCTCTCCACCACCACCATTTCCGCCACCGTCGTTTCCTCCCTCTCATCGACAAAACCCAGAAACACGAATCCAAACCCGAACCCATCAATGAAAGACCCGAATTCTTGAACGAAAACTGGGTCTCTTGAACGACCCTTTTTCGAATGGTAACGCCTGCAAGTTTGTTCACGGCGCCGGCGGTGGTGGGTTCTCGGATACCGGTGATGATTCCGGCCCAATTGTTGCTCCCTATGACCACCGGCTTTCTCTCTTTCATCTTTGATTTTGATTTTCAGGGTTTTGATTTTGATTTTGATTTTCAGGGTTTTGATTTTGATTTTCTGGGTTTCGATTTTCTGGGTTAGAGGTGGGTTTGGGTGGTGGGGTGGTCTGGGTTAGGGTTGGGTCTTGGTGGCGTAGGTGGTGGGGTGGTCTAGGTTAGATGTGGGTCTAGGTGGTGGGGTAGTCTAGGTTAGATGTGGGTCTAGGTGGTCTGGGTTAGATCTGGGTTTTTTGGTTAGGGAGGGGGCTGCCGGAAAAAAGAAGGAAAGACGTGAGGGTGGTGGTGGTTTCTTGGGGTCGGTTGTGGTGGTGGTTTTGTGGGGGTGGTAGTGGTGGTGGTGAAGCCAGTGGCGGTGGTGGTGAAGCCGACAGTGGTGGTGGTGAAGGCGGCGGCGGTGGTGGTTGGTCTTGGTGGTGGCAATGGGTGGTTTGATTAATTATTCAAACATTCTCTCTCCACCTTAATTACATACTCTTATAATATATTAATCACCATTATACTTTCTTAATCTTTTGCCCTTCAATCTTTTGCCTCGTGAACCGTTTTATGTGCCAAAGTTGCACATAAAAAAAAACGGAAGGTAGTAATACAAAAGAATAACAATCATGATAATTAACAAATATCAAGCATAAAAAAACTTAGGTAGATCGGTAGATGTCACAAGAATCCAAAGAAATGATAAGCTCTAGTATCTGACTACTACTCTAACATATGATATAAAATTTAAAGCCTATAATCTTTACCAAGTGCTAACCAATTGACAAAGAATAGAGATGATTAGGTAGATGATCTTAACAAAATGAGCATGATAATACAAACATGAATACATGCATTTCTACTAAGTAGCAACTCCTATCTACAAAAGCTAAAGCGCATGGTGTCAACATATACACTTCAACATCTATTTGTTAGAGCCCATCAATCACTTATAAGAGAGCACTTAATTAGCTACACTAAGCTAAAATATAAGTAGTATTAATTATCACAATTAGAATTACGTAACCAATCAATCAATCAAAGCCTTAATCCCACAAGTGGGGTTGGCTACATGAACCAAATTTGATTATTCCGTGTAGTCATCGGCACTTAATTAGAATTACGTAGTGCATATAGGATATTTAAAAAAGCAACGGTAGCAATGCTTAATACAAATCCAACTACAACAACTTTCTGCCCACCAAAAACCACTGATGCAAGCCGGTGATCAGATTCCAGTTTTTCCCAATAGGATTTTTTTAAAAAGCATTGTCTGGGATGGATCCCAACAAATTTAGAGAATCCATACTATCATATGAACCCATCTTATCAAAAGATAAGAAGGAAAGGGTTGGGGCTAGAAGCCAAACAGTAAAGAAATCAACTACAGCTCCCCTGAGTGAGTCGGTAACAACATAGTCAATTTCCAGAAAAAAAATTTCTTTCCGTTTCTCATACTGTGCAAGCAGAGTTGTTGTCAGTGATATAGCTTCTTCAATAGCTAATTTGTTTCAAAATTTTGGATTTGCTAATAACCTTTCTCTGAAACCCTGCACAGAAAGTACATTATGATACGGTCACCTCTTTGGGCTCTTTCCACTACCCCCCCCCCCCCCCCACCAACCTCCCTCCCCAAACAAAATTAAGTCATATGTAGTCTATATGAATATCATTTTGATTATAACTATTAATTATGATTTAATCAAGTATGAATTATTCAAAGTAGATAATATCTAATATCAAATTGCATATTGCATATCAAATCAATTCTTTTTCGATTAGAGTGCGTCAGTCATCAAGTTTCAATGGCAGACATCAGGCTAGCAAATTAGATAAGAGCAATCTATGACCAAGTCATCAACTAAAATTTGTAGAAGTGTAGAACATAAGTATCACTTTAAATTTGTTATTGGATCAGAACCAAAATTACAATACACACTGCATATAAAATTTTATATAACTAAAAACATACACCAAGGCCAAAAGAATCCAAACACATGAACAATAACATTTCAAGGCTGTGCACAAGTCCAATTGAGGCTAACAAACCATTGTTTCTGCAACAATTACCCAGTTTAGCGTGAAGTAATTAATTTTTTTACACAAAGAAATTGAATTATCCAACCAAAAATTATATAATTATATCTAGCTATAAATAAAACATTTACATTTATAGAACGAAAAATCAACTCCATATTTTCAATTAGCTATATGGTTTTGTTGCATATAATGATTGTTATGCTGCTTGTAGCTAACACTAGTCATACCCCATTCCCCTCTTTTTTCTTTTAGCTAGTATGCATGTATATTAGTTCATACCCATTAAGTTTTTAGCCCAACTTCCTTAACAAATCATTAATTATTTGATGATATTTCATCTACTGCCAACACTCATGAGTCATGATCCTACTTATTCATTTCCCATAAAAGATAAATAGAAGGAAATAGTTTGGAAGTACATGCAAGTAGCTATATAAATTAAGAAAAAAGGAATCAGATTACCAATTTAACATAACAAATTCAATAAATCACCCATCTTGAGTAATTCCACAAATAATCAAACGAAATTACACTAATAAAAGGGGAAGAATAATGGATCAGAATGAAAACCATCAGACCACATTTAAAATCGAACAACTAATGTAAAATTAAGAGTAAAGTCATTAGATTGAAAACGAATTACATTTATTTACTCAAACCCATTCAGTTACATAAGATTGATTAGGATTCAACGAATTTGAGCATTTAGGTTCATTATTTAATTAATTAAAGATATTAAACTGAAAACGAATAATGGATCAAAGAAACCAATTATAATCGAACAAAGAAAAAAAAATTTAGATCCTCAACAAATTAACAAGTCCATCACATTAAATGAAAATTAAACCCTAAACTACAATTATGTAATTCAAAAGAGATTTGTTTACATACCAAAATGCAGAAAATTATCCTTCAATTTATTAGCTTATGATTATCTTCTAAATTGGAGAAAGAACAAACCTCAATCTGACGCACTTTTGATTAACTTCGATTTGGGTTGAATTTTTGAGAATAAGATTTGATTGAGAAACAAGGTTTTGTTTTGGAGTTCAAGTGCACGGCGGGAGGGGAAAGTTATCCCCGCTTCAGATACAACAATAACGACGGTAAATTTTTTCTTTTTTTTTTCAAAATTATTAACGAGGAACACATCACATCATTACCGACAATAGTTCAAAAATCACGAGAAACATTTTTAGTCCTCGTAAATATGCTTTTAACAATGAATTTTTTTTTATCGTGGTTATTGAGTTGTCGTTAATTACTTAAATTCTAGTAAGGGCAACCTGGCCCAAAATTTCAACAAGGATTTCTTCATATCATAAAGTTCCTTGATATCAATCAAGTTAGAGCCATGGATCGGGACCATTTGGTCTAAAAAGGCACCAAATCCTAAATTCCTCGCTATAATCGACATCATTCCCCCACACTTAATCTCGCTTTTAACCTCATGTATATACATCTTTTAATGAACATATATCCCATGTTCACGTTTCCCTTTCACATTGCCTTCGAATCTTGAAGCTATGAAGAGGCATTTGATCTCCTCTTTTGTTAGTTTCCCTAAGTCTTGCTTAGAGAAACAAGCATAGCTCACCATTCTCTTGAAGATTCGAAAGCACGGGGTGGATAATGTGGCTAGCATGGCTAGACCGGGTTGTGAAATGGGATACCTCGCAATGGTGTTCCACCACACTTGCTCCTCGTAGCTAGAGAAGTAAGTACTATTGGGTCATACACTTGGTTTGAGGTGGGCCATGTGAAGATTTCATTCAATCTAGTTAAGTTAGGACTTCTCGGTTATTGAACATCCTAAACTTTATTTCACATTCTAATGGTTCACTTCAAGATTTATGCGCTTCATAGTGACCGATGAAAGGAATTCAAGAGTTAAGAAGCATATGTTTCTTCCTTAAGATTTAAGAAGTTTAGCCAACCGAAAATTGTTGGCTACTCTTCTTATTCCTTCAATCGATCCACAGTAGCTCCATTGATTCTTTGTGATAGAAATGGGTTGGGAGAAATTTCTCTTTAAAAGGTCACTGTGTGCTTTTTTATTTCGCTCATGGATTCTTATGGTTGGTGGTGGGTTAGGATTGTTTTGTTGTGAAGGAGTTGGGGATGGTTGAGGTTCATTAGGCTTTCTTTTTTTACCTCCTCCAAGGATTCTCTTCATTTTTTTTAATTAGGGATGGTTACTCAAGAAGCTCACTCAACAACAACCAACAACACCACACACACCCTTAACTTCAAACCCCCGTAAAAATCCAAGTACCTGTTTCACAATATAATACAACACAACCAAACAATATCTCCCAACACACAATTTCACAAACAAAATCAATTTTCACCAATTTTCACACAAATCAGGTTCACAAATTCACCAAGTATAATCAATTTTCAATCACAACACCTCTATTCCAAAAATCATTCACAAATTTTCACTAACCATTCTCATAATCAAAAATATTTGTTTAATTTCAACTAAACATGCAAATAACTACACAATTTACATGAAATAAACAAAATTAAGGAAATTCAAAGAAGAACCCTAAGGTTCAAGAGGGAAAGTGAAGTAGAGTGGGAAATATACCGATTAGAGTATAAAAAATACTCTAAATTTTTGTCCAACATTACTCAACTAAGCTCCTTCTTTAATCCTTCAACCTTTGCTTTTGTTCTTCTATGGAGAATTTGTGAGTTTTTGAATTTTTGCTCAATTTTGTGGAAATTTGTGGTTTTTAGAGAAGAATTAGATGTAGAGTAAGGATTTGTGGAATTTCGAGTGAAAATTTTTGAAGGATTAATGATGAATTTGAAGAGAAAATGTAGAGAAAATGAGGGTTTTAGAGTGAGAAGTAGATGGAAAATGAGGAGAGGGAATAGGGAAAGGTGAAATGAGAGGTGGGAGGTGGAGATGAAAGAGGTTGAAAAAAGATTAAAAAAAATCTCAGAAATTACCAAATGTGTAGGAGCAGCGTGCAGGTAGGATGGAGCGCCCGCTCCTACCATTTGAAGTGCAATATGATTTTTCCTTTCCTAAATTGATTTCGACTTCTTGTTTCGTTTTCAATTTTTTTTAAAGAGCTGATAAGAGGAGCGGGCGTGCAGGTGGGGTGGAGTGCCCCACTCCTAGTCTTGATCAGTTTTTGCCTCTTGTGGTTTGGATAGAAGAGGGCAAGCACATGGTTAGGAGCGCCCGCTCCTAATGCTGTTGGAGTTCCTGCTTTTGTTGAATGCAGATGGAGCGGGCACGCGCCACTAGAGGATCGCCCGCTCCTAAGTGTATCTCGAGACTGTTATCCTTTGTCCTCTCGAGTAAATCATCCTATAACAAAACCAAGCACGAGCAAACACTCAAAATTGTTAAGTGTTAGTTCGAGCTCTGTCATATCTCATCATTTTTTTTAGTAAAAACAAAAATACTCGGGTTGCCTCCTGGGAGCGCTTCTTTAATGTCAATAGTTTGACGCAAATTCAAAAAAATATCCTCAAGGTGGGATAAGTTCGAAACCATTTTGTTACCATTGTTACAAATTTCCTTCATGGGTAAAATCAAATCATTTTCTTGACTAACACTAAGAGCAAAGTCACTAGAAACCTCCTTAGAATCCTTCTTCTTCTTCCTTTTCTCTTTTGGCTTTCCCTTCCTCTTCCTCTTAGGAGCTTTAGTGTCAACCGCTTCATCCTTATGAGCGTCGGACTCACCTTCTTCAAGCATCGTCTTGAGGTGATTTCTTTGACTCATAAACACAAAAAAAAGGGTTAGTGGCACAAAGCATTCTCAAGTCATGCAAATCATTATCATTAAGTGCATCTAAGGTCATGCAAGCTTTCATGG